AACCCCAATCTTGACAAAACACAGCACCAGAAAAAATGAGCAAGGAAGAAATGAGGGCCAGCAGAGCCAGGAACAGCATCAGGAGCTCAGCTTGTGCCAGGCACCACTGGGGACAGCGGGAAGGAGGCAGGAAGGACAGGAGCTGAAAGCAAACGAGGCTGACTCACCTCCCTCCTCTGCTAACCCCCACTTTTTCACTCTCAGAACTTCCTCAGAGGCAGCAGATTTTCAAGCATGCCCAAAGAACACATTGTCAGAAGTTTCATGAATGAATAAACATCAAGAAGGCCAAGGCCAAGCCTATGAATATTGAGTTATTGACCGAGTGCAGAGCTCCAGCCTGGTTCTGGCTGCAGTTCTGCCTGCAGGACAGCAGCACCTGAACCAGCACCAGCAGGGCTGCAGCTCCTCTGGGATCCTCATCTCAGGATCTTGGTCCTTGTTTCTGAAGCTGGCAAAAGTTTCTGGGCCCCAGATAAACTTCCTTGGTTTTGCCTTGCTTTCAGTAGCTTTTGTTTGTCCTTCCATCAAAATCTAAGGCAAGTGTAAAACATTAATTATTTATTTTAGTTATTATTTAAAGAGTCCAAAATTCTGATTTGGTGCCATAGATACAAGGAGGTAAAAACGAAATGTCTGACAAAATTACAGATTGGTTTGGGTTAAAAGGGACCTTAAATCCCACCCAGTGCCCCCCCTGCCATGGCAGGGACACCTCCCACTGTCCCAGGCTGCTCCCAGCCCTGTCCAGCCTGGCCTTGGGCACTGCCAGGGATCCAGGGGCAGCCACAGCTGCTCTGGGCACCCTGTGCCAGGGCCTGCCCACCCTCACAGGGAAGGATTTCTGCCTTGTCTCTCATCTACACATCACCTCAGAATCAGCTCAGTTCTGGTAAGAGCCTCAGTGAAAGCAGCAAAGCCCACAGAAGGATCCACTCCTGGGAAGCCAGCAGCAACCCTCCCATCAACCCAGCCAGGTTGTGTTGAGCCCACATTCAGAAATCCCACAATATTTCCATTTTAGAGAGCAACACTCTACCTGGGAATCACATTTATCCACCAGTTCTTGCTTCCTTGTGGCATCACGTCCCTTCCACCACCACCTGGAGCTGCAATCTACACCCGACCATGTCTAACAACAGGACATAAAAGGCCTTTTTTACCTCCAAACCTCCAGGCAGCACTGGATTTACAGCATGTAGCATACACAAATCAGGGGGGAAGCAGCTGTGAGCATCTGAAATCACACCAAGCCTGACATCCAGCACAGCACGAGCCTGCTGGACACACAAATCACTGCCTGGAGAGCAGAGCAGCGAGGGGGAGATCTCCAGAATCAACAAGCAGAGGCTCAGGTGTGCAAACAGCAGTGGCAGGACCCGGGGGCACAGGGCAGGGAACTGGCACTGCTCTGGTGTGTGGTTATTTCCTGGCATTCCAAGCAGGCATGGAGGGATTCAGGCAGGAGTTCTGCCTTTGGGACTGTCCCTGTCACACCTCCTCTGCTGAGCTCACTGCCAGGGGGATGCAGAAGAAAGAGATTTTTCCTGTGCAGCACACCCAGGGAACAGAAAAAAAAAACACTAAGGAAAACAATGCAGCTTCTTCTTTCTCATCCTGTTTTTAAACTTTCAGCCCTCTGGGGTTTAGGGGATGGATCCTGACTGTGGCACAGAGGAAAAACATGCTGGTGTCACCCATGGCAGGCAGTCCCTCCACTTCCACCTCTACAAACAAATTGTCCTGTGCCTCTTCTTGCCCCTGTCTCAAAATCCTGTGCCCCAGAGCACTGCCCTTCTTGCTGATGAAGCCACCAACATCCCTGGGACACAGCTGGGGACCAGCCAGGGGTGTGGGCAGAGGTGCCAGCCTGCACTCTGGGGCTCTGCAGCAGCATTTCTGCAGCCTGGACTGCACTCTGCCATCTCCAGGATGCCCCTACAGCTCCCTGTGCCATCCCCAGTGATTCCCCCCAGGGCCCAGGGCCCATTTCCCTGCTGGGCACTTGAGAAAGATTCATTAAATTGATCCAAACCTCCAAGTGCAGCATTTTGATTCTGTGACCCAGGGAAACAGGAGCCTGCAGTGCTCAGGACAGCTCAGCCAAGGCTCCATGATCCCTAAAAGTCTCCTTGGCTCAAAGGGAACTCTGGTGGCCTCAGAGCCACCACAACTCAAGGGACAGGATCGTGTCTGTCCCACCCTCTCCACCACACTGTCCCCAGCTCGTGCTGCCAGCCTTGGCAGATGGAAGTGACTTCATGGGGCTCTGAGCAAAGCTGAGGCTTAGCCCTAAACAGCCAAGGGCTGAGCAATGGGGAAATCACAGACTCACAGAACCTTTGTAAGGTTGTGTTTGAGGGTCCCAGGATGAAGGAAGAGATGAGAAACCTTGATTCTATGTTTCAGAATGTTGATTTTTTATATTATATTATATTAAAATGCTATACTAAAATTATACTAAAAAGAATAGAGAGAAAGGATCTATCAGAAGCTAGAAAAGAAAGTAAAAAAAATGAATAACAAAATCTTGTGACTACTCACAGCCTCAACGCAAGTAGCTGTCATTGGTCATCAAGTAAAAACAATTTCATATGTTTAGTAAACAATCCTCCAAATCACATTCTAAAACAATAAAACATGGAGAAGCTGAAGCTTCCCAGCTTCTCAAGAGAAAAAATCCTAACAAAAAGATTTTTCATAAATATGTCTGTGACACCCTTGAGGGTGGAAAAGACCTTTGGGGTCAGTGAATCCAAGAAATGTCTCACTGCACAAACCCAGAGGGGATGAGAGCAGATCACCTCTCAAAAAAAAAAAAAAAAAAAAAACACCAAAAAAAATCCAAAAAACCCCCAAAACCCATGAGGATTGAAAGGACATTTCAGGGTTTAACATCACAACTGACATAAGGAATAGGAAAAAACTGACCCTCAGAGCCCATGAGACTGCACTGGAGGAAGTGATTGGAGGTCATTGCAGGGAATTGGGTCATTTAGAGGGAAAAATACACCAGAAAAGAAACTGTGGCTGCAGTAAAATGATCCAGCCTGTGGAGGCTGAGTGTCAAATGTGCCCCATTCCTGCCTGGCACGGAGACACCTCCAGCTGCTCCCTTTCCAGCTAGTTCCACTGGTGAGCACGCACAGTGCCAACCCCAAACGTCCCTTCCAGCTGGGGTGAGCCACGGGAGCAGCCTGGGATCTGCAGGGCAGCCTGGAGCAGCTCAGAGGCGAGGTGTGTGCACGTGGGGGCTGACAGAGGTGTAGATCTCCCTTCACAAAGCTCTGCTGCCAACTGTGCCCAGGGCAGCCTCAGAAGGGCCCAGCCCAACCCCAGAGCACCCCTCAGGACCCTGTTTGAGAATGGGTCACTGAGCCAGCCTGGTGGATCAGCCCCGCTCTATTGCTGCCTAATGATTATTGCCTTTTTTCTTTTCTGAATTCTCTGTATTCTTTACACACATATTTGGAGCTCTGTAGCCTATTGCTGCATTCCTCCTTGGTTTTCCCAGTGTTTTTCCCTACCTTTTCCCTAGGCAGAAAGACAAAACACATTCTAAAGCCCCTACCCCATCTTGGTTCTCCCTGGGAACCAAAAAAAACCCTCTTTGAGACTCATTTTCATCAACAAAGTTCAGTTCCATCTGAGGGGGGAGGATTTTGAAGGGGCTTGAACTGGGGGGAGATTGCATCACCACTTGTGCTCCTAATTGGTGGTTTTGTCAATTATGCTTACTAAATTTATAAAAACTGTGTTCACCCCCTGGGGGAGGGGCTTTTGTGGACATTTTCCATATTCACCTCTAGAGGCCTCCAATAAAGATCAGCTTTTCCATCACCTCCTGTACTGCCATTATCTCAAAGTGTGTTTCATTTATAGGTTCTTGAGGCATCACTAGCTGAGGCTGATCCTGCTGGTTAACTCAGGATCCTGGGACTGCCAGGAGGAGCCAGCACACCCCAGCTGAGAGCTGGCCCCTAAAATGCTGCCCTGCAGGCAGCTGGGAGCACCTGGTGCACAGCACCCCAGGGGCTTTGGGTGAGAGTTGCAGGAACAGGGCACAGGAGCAGGATCCTCAATGGAAAACTCTTCCCTGCCAGCCCAGGGAGGTGTGATGCCTTGGAGTACTACCTAGAACAGAGGCTACAGCAGATAAAGACAATAAAAGTATTTATTAAAGACCTTCAACAGCCACACCTTGGGCAGTCAAAGCCTCACAGAGGCTGCACCCAAGCTGGACAATGGTCATGAGTTTTTCAGACAGATATAAATTCAGTCCATTTACATATCAGGGGTTAATTCTCCAATTATAGCTTCAGGTAATGAAGTAATTTACCCCCAGTTTGCTTCCCCACCCCCAGCTGACTTTTGCTTGTACTTTTTGGGGCCTGAGGCAGTGAGGTGTCCTTCCACCCCAGGTGACTTCTGTTTGTACTTTTTGGGGCCTGAGGCAGTGAGGTGTCCTTGAGCTTCAGGCCTGGAGGAATTGTTTTGTCTGCTCGAAATGTGAAGACAATTAACTAACACTTTATATGGAGTTTAGAGTTACAGGAATTGTTTTGTCTGCTCAAAATGTGAAGACAATTAACTAACACTTTATATGGAGTTTAGAGTTATGCACTAATGCAGCACAGGGTTTGAAAAATGTAAAGGTGAAAATCTGAAGGCATCAGGTGAGAGGACTTTGTGATGAGGAGACTGTGGGGGCTGATTTGTCTGGAGATGAGAGGTCTGAGAGGGGATCCCATCAATGCATATAAATACCTCCAAGGGGTGTCAGAGGACAGTGCTAGAGGCTTTTCAGTGACAGATGAGGAGCAATAAACTAAAACACAACAAGTTCCACATCAACATGAGGAAGAAATTCTTTCCCTGAGGGTGGCAGAGCTCTGGAAGAGCTGCCCAGGGATGAGGTGGAGTCTCCTTCTCCAGAGACATCCCAATCCCGCCTGGACACGTTCCTGGTCACCTGCCACCCTCTCTGGGATCACTCTCACCTTCAAGCCAGTGCTCTCTGCCTCGGAGCCCTTGTCCACACCCGTGATGTAGATGCCCAGGGAATATTCTGCCCCTCCTCGGATCATGAGGCCCAGGGATTTCCCTTCATTCAGGACCAGATTCACCTGCAGGGGAACAGGGAGAGACATTGATGTGGTGTTCAAGTGCTGCCCAAAGCAGAGGTGGGCCACAGCCACAGAGCTGGGCTGGAGAGCAGCTCCTGTGGGATTGAGGAGACAGTGGGAACCAGGAGGAAAAGCTCTGGAGGCTGAGAGGTTCAGCTACGTGAGGAGCAGCACGTGTGGGTGGATTTTCAGCCACAAATCAGCTGATCCACAGCAGTTTTCCACTCTCTCCTTTTACAGGTGCATTCCTGGTGTAGAGACCTGAGAACAACCCCCAAAACCCCAGGAGCAGCAGTGGGGTGGTGCCAGGCAGCACTGGCTGTGAATTCCCCCTCTGGCATTGCTGCCTGAGCAAACAGAGCCATGATCCCCTATTGGATTTGCTGGGAATGCCCCAACAAAGGCAGGAATGATGAATCTGACTCCATGTTCTCAGAAGGCTAATTTATTATTTTATGATACTGTATTATATTAAAGAATACTAAACTATACTAAAGAATACAGAAAGGATACTTATAGAAGGCTAAAAAGATAATAATGAAAACTCCTGACTCTCTCCAGAGTCCTGACACAGCTTGGCCCTGACTGGCCAAAGAGTGAAAACAACTCACAGCAGAACCCAATGAAACCATCAGCTGTGGGCAAACAGTCTGCAAACACATTCCACATGAGCACAGCACAGGAGAAGCAAATGAGATGAGAATTGTTTTCCTTTTTCTCTGAGGCCTCTCAGCTTCCCAGGAGAAAACTCCTGGGCGAAGGGATTTTTTCAGAGAATGTGAATGCCACAGTCCCCCTCCACCCAGCCTGGCAAGAGCCCAGCTCCAGCCTCTGCCCTTCCCTGTGCAGAGCCACTGCAGGCACTCCCCACAGGCCAAACCCCTCAGGGGTAATCACGTGCCTGATTATCTCCAATTAACAACACCTGGACAACCTTTCCATAGATCCAGCACATATTGCAGAAGCCATTTCCTATTTCCCACAACCTGCTAGGCAGCACCTGGGCAGATATTGTCCCCACCAAATGCTGATTTGCAAACCCACGCTCCCACCTGCCTTCATCCACCCTCTCCTCCTCACAGGGCCTGCCAATATCTGGGTGTTCAGGTGGGAATTTGGAGTGCAGAGCAATCCTGTGCTCAGCTCCCTCAAGGACTCTGCATTTAAATTGGCCTTTGTTCACTCTCTGCATGACACTTTTTAAATGAGTAATTCCAGGGTTATTTTTTTGCTTTGCTCCCAAGTTTTGAGTCACTTCTGGAGAAAAGCAGACAGCAGGATAAAAACAAATGAGAAAAGCCAGAATGTGTTTCACACTGATAGAAAACACCAGAAACAAGCTGTTTGTGAAGGGCTTTTATATTTAAACCCCTTCGCTGCAGTCAAATCAAAATCTTGCACATTTACCTGGATGGAAAAATAATTCTCAGCTTCAAGTCAGTAATTAATCCATCTTTCTAGAGGACACGGCATCAGAGAAGGAATTCAGGCCAGCCTTAGAGTGGCTGGTATTGAAAACCCATTTTCTGTCTTGGTGATAGAAACACAGAAATCAGCAGCAGGACACAAATCCACCAAAGGCTCCAAATTTTGGATTTAGAAAAATGGATGCAAAGCTGGAATAAGATTTGTAAAACATCAACTACCTGTACCAGCATCCTTCTGTGGAAAAACCTGATGTTCCCTGGGTTTCCTTTCCCTGCTTTAAAGGGCAGAAAGTGCTGGAAACAATTTTAGCATGGAAGGATTATAAAGGAATTATAGAGACCTTCATGCTCCAGGCTGGAGAGATGAGCTGGTCACTGAACCCACCCAAAGGAGCAGCTGTCTGTCACATTCAAGAGTATTTTGGTTTTCTCTTCACAGAGAAACCTTGCTCTGGACCACACAACACTTGCTTGAGTGTATTGGAAAATTAGGAAAAGATTCAACTTTTCTGAAGTGCTGTTACCTCCCCGTCTGTCTGATGATGTTTAGGATTTCCCTAATATAAGTTTTTCACCCCACCATGGCTATGCCTCTCAAAAAATCCCCAAGTTTGGGAAAAAAAATACAAGTCGGAGAAATGCAGCAAGGTGCCTGGAATCACAGATCACATCAGAACAGACTGGGAATGCCAAAATTCCCTCTGAAAGTCCCTGAATGACATTTCTGTGTGCTGGGGTTAGCTCCAGGAGGGGCAGCTCTGCAGGCAGACATTTCCATTTCCCTTTAACTCTATCCTGGTAAGCCGAGAAGCTGCTCCCTCCACCTGGGGAGAGCATCAGGTGGAGTAAGAGATACCCCCTGTCCCTCTGCTCAGGAGGTGCTGCCACGTGAGCTGCTCTGTTTTGTCTGACCAAAATGTGGAGACAATTAATTAACACTTCATATGGAGTTTAGAGTCATTCACTAATGCAGTGGAGGGTTTGAAAAATATAAAGGCGAAAATCTGAAGGCATCAGGTGAGAAGGACTTTCTGATGAGGAGCCTGTGGGAGAAGAGAGGTCTGAGAGGGGATCCCATCAATCCATAGAAATACCTCCAAGGGGTGTCAGAGGATGGTTTGCCCTGCACTGAGCAAACCTGCACTTCCAGAGGCAGGAAAGGCACGGATACAGAAATCCTGCAAGCACAAAAACCAGCAAACCCTAGCTGTGTGTGCAAACCTGCTGGCAGCCCAGAAAGTTGGGTAGCTCAGGGCTTAATTGCATCTCTTAATCAGCTAATAGCTGCAGCTCCCTGGATGAACCCTGCAGCAGGAGCTGCCAGGAACAGCGTGGCAGAGAGCAGGGAGCAGCCAGCTCAGGGACTCACTGCGGATTTTGGGAATGCCTGGGGAAGGGAGACAGCCTGGGGAGGGAAGGTGAGGCCTTTGGGACTACCTAAAAACAGAGGCCAGACAGAATTTAGGCAATAAAAACCAGGTATATTTATTGAAGTGCCTTCAGGTACATTTTGGGCAGACAAAGCCCTCAGGGCCTACACCCAAAATGGACAATGGGTCACGGGTTTCACACTTTTATAAGTTTGGTCCATTTGCATATTGGGGTTAATCTGCCAATTACAGCTTCAGCTAATGAAGGAATTGACCCCAAGTTTGCTCCCCCCAAAACTCACTTTTGTTTCCATCTCTGGGGCCTGAGGCAGTGAGGTGTCCTTGATTGCCAGGCCTGGAGAGGAATTGCTGTGTCTGCCCAAAACGGGAAAGCAGCAGCTCACACTGTGTGTGGAGTGTGGAGTTACACACTAAAGAACTGCTGGGTTACAAATATATGGAATATATAAAAGCTCAAATCCTAAGGCACCAAAGGAGCAAGGCAGGGACAGGCTGATGCCAGGAGGAAGCAAAGGCTGGGCCACTCCATGCCAAGGGCTCGGGGACCACAGGGGACAACTTGCACTCTCCTTCCCAAGGGTCTGTGTCTCCAGTGATGGCACAGTCAGGGGTGGTGACAGGAGGGGTGGCCCTGCCCTGCTGGCTGTCTCATTGTCACACTCCTGCCAGCCTGGCCCCAGCCCACACATGGCTCTGGGGTGACACTGAAGCACAAGCTCAGCTGTGTCCAAGGAGGGAGCCAAACCTGTGACCAGGCTGATGTTCCCAGTGGCCCCCAATGTTCCCAGTAGTGATGCAGGGTCCCTCTGGGAGCCTCAGCACAGCATTCCTTGGGCCCAGCCCCTCTGCTTGGGCTCTTCCACTCAGGCTGGCACCCATGTGATTAACACTCCAGTGCCAAGGCTTGGCCCAGAAAGGGCATTTTGTGCCAGTTCCACTTCATGCTTCTACTCTCCCCCTTGGCTGAAGCCCCCTCAGGGAGAGCTGGGATCACCCTGAGCTCCTAAACCAGTCTGTGCTGACACACCAGGCAGCAAACAGGGGCAGCTGTTGTGTGGGGGAAACTGAGGACATCCCAGATAACAGAATGGTTTGAGTTGGAAAGGACCTTAAATCCCATCCAGTGCCACCCCTGCCATGGCAGGGACACCTCCCACTGTCCCAGGCTGCTCCAAGCCCTGTCCAGCCTGGCCTTGGGCACTGCCAGGGATCCAGGGGCAGCCACAGCTGCTCTGGGCACCCTGTGCCAGGGCCTGCCCACCCTCCCAGGGAAGGATTTCTCCACAATATCCCATCTAAGTCTATCATCCTTCAGCTTAAAGCTGTTCCCTGTGTCCTGTCATTCCATGTCCTTGTCCCCAGTTCCTCTCCAGCTCTCCTGGAGCCCCATTAGGTCCTGGAGGCACAGGGACGCTCAGGCAAGGCCATCCCCCACACCTTGCCAGGCATCCCACAGCACATCACTGCCCAGTGCCCACCTCCTTCCCTGTGCCATCCCCAGGCTGTGCCCAGCCCCAGGCGACTCCTGCGTGCATCACACAGAACCATTAGGAAGTCCAAGGTCACAGTTTTAATTTCTGTTTCAAGGCTGAAACATCTGCCATCTCCTGTAGCAGGAAATGAAGGAAAAATAAAAATAAATGCCATCATCAGGGAGGCACTTGCTCTGAGCTGATTCCTGCACAGGATTGCTTCTGTCTGGCTTTATGGAATTACCTGTTGACAGATTCAATTTTGCCATTAGAAAAAGGCCTTTCAGGCAGGAATTAGCCTGCCCCAGTAGGGCTCAGCACCAGCTGGGTGGCTGAGGAGGTTCCAGCCATACTGGCAGCTATTTCCAGGCCATTACTGCTGCCACACAACACAAACAACACCTCAGGAGGCTGGCAGGGCTCATCCTCCTCTTGTTTCCCAAGGAAATCCCACAGTTTGTGTCTAGACATCCTGCACACAGCGAGTGTGGGAAGGCAGAGCTACGTCACAGCCTTTACCTGAGTCCTGGGGGCAGCCGGGGGTGCCAGGGCCACCAGAGCTGTGCCAATGTCACCCCCTGCCCAGGGCAGCTCCCTAAGGCAGGACTTGGGCTGGCACCCAATGTCCAGCACTGGGGACAGGGAGCAGCTCCAGGGCTGGGAGGTGACACAGAGCTCAGGGACAGTGACCAAACCTGGTCCTGGGCCCC